ACTCTCTGGGCACGGCCATCCAGCCAGTTTTTTACCCAGCGAAGAGTACACCTGTCCAGGCCATGAGCAGCCAGTTTCCCCAGGAGAACACTGTGGGAAACAGTGCCAAAAGCTTTGCTACAATCCAAGTAGATAACATCCACAGCTTTTCCCTTATCCACTAAGCGGGCCATTGAGTGCCATTAAGAGTTTAGTGATTCCGTGTTAGGTAGAAGTGTATTAATTATATCAAAATCTAGTCTCCTGATCTGGAAGTGAGCTATCATCTTGCTACTAAAACCAAAGTACCAGTTCCAAAATACAAGAAGCAACATACTTACCTACTTAAACCATCCAGAGCAGCATTACTGTCGCTGCTTTTGCTTCTTTGGTAGTTCAGAGTTGCTTCCCACTTAGGCCCAGAACACTAAATCAAGTCTGTATAACTTCAATGTAGAAAGTCACTGTTTCGATCTTGTGTCAGAGGAGATGCTGCTATGAAGACAAAACATAGCTCTAATAAATCAAAATAGAAACATACACTCACAGATCTGAAGCCCGATTTCTGACAATTAGAGGTATGTAGCAGAAGACAGTGCATCTAAACATATCCTTAACCACAGCTGCTAATATAAGGTGAACCCCATAAGTACCATATGCAGAGACCACCCTGCTTGCACATACCTAGGCAGCCCTGAAAAATCTCAGTGTTTAGGAATGGCACTCACAGAAATTCTGCTCTCTTGTCCTGGACCTGGCAGCTTAAAGTTAAGTCCTAGTGAAGCTTCTCTCCGACTCCTGCTCTCTCAGAACAGACAAAGCTTCATGCACTCCTCACCTGCTTTGTGTGGAAAGAGGAGTGGGTGGTCAGAACAGAGGAGAAAATTCATGGCCTCAGGCAGCAACTCCTCTGTCACCACGGAGGAGTGATCACAGTGATAAGGAGAATGTCTGTAGCACTGTGCAGACCCATAGCAAAGCTGGGATCCAACAGCAGCCTGGCTCTGCTGTCAGGGGCAGAAGTGAGTTAGGAGGAAACATAACATCAGTTATTTTTTCCCTTTATTTTTAAAGAAATGACAGATTAACCCTTTTTGTGGGGAAGAGACAGAAGAAGAAATGGAAGAATCATTCCTGCTCCTTTGAAAGCTGAACCAAGACAGTAGAAGGGATGTGATGCCTAGAAACACTGGAGCTAGACTGGAATGAGTGTGTGATTACTTATGCAAAGTGCTGTACTTCATCAAGGAGCAACTGAGAAATCAGTAGTACCTCTACCCAGAAAATGTATAGCTAGAAGGTGGGACCACTCTCCTGAGATACCAAAATTATGGATTTGAGTGGCTGTAAGAATAGGTGAGAACCGAATCTGCATTTCTCACATTCTCTGATGCTCCCCAGCTGTTGGCTTCCTTCTGGGGCCACGTTTTCTGTGAAGCCTTGCTGGTCCTCCTCTGGGAAGCACTTACAGATTGACTCCTTGAGGAGAAGTAGGGTGTGAGCATCTTGCTTCTGATGGCAATAGGCATATGTTTGAGAGAAGGCTGTAGCATATGTCAGGATGAGATGCTTCTGGATAGATGAAAAAATGAAACTTCAGCACTTTTAGCATCAAAAATTTAGGGTGATTTAAACACTGTGTGTAAACTGAAGGTCCCAAATATCAGCTTGTCTTGCCACATCCGTTTGGGCAATAGAGAGATGGAACTTGACCTGCATGGCAGAAACACCTCCCCTTCCTCCTGGCCTCAGGGCTGGGGCTGCTCACCTGCCCCACGCCAGCTCTGTCACAGCACCTCAGCACCTTCCAGCACGAGTAACCAAGCTGTTACAGCTCCTGGCAAGGACTTCTCGTGGGAAATCATAAAACCTGCTGAGGTGTCTCTGCTGGAAGAGCCCTAGCTTGGCTGTGTGCTAGGGCTCAGAGATGTTTTTAAAAGTGATAATATAATATATCAGAATTTCTTATTCTTTTGAGTACACCAGCTAATTCCCACTTAGAATGAACTGTGGAGTCCAATGAGTTGTCTGATTCATAGATCCATCTAAAAATGTCTTCTGACTTCATCTGAAGACATGATGAGATGGAGAACCATCATTTCACTGATAATTCATTCTTGTGACTATGTACCCTCACCAATTTTTTTTTTTAATTTTATTTTTATTTCATTTCAAGGTTCAGGCACTATTGTAGTTTCCTAGGTTTTTGAGTTTTGTTTTGGTTGTTTTGTTTTGTTTTTTTTTTGCTTTGACTTTAACAAATTAAAGGGTTCTTTAGTTATTATTTTCCTTTATGATAACCAAGGTAACTCTTCAATGCCTGTTTTCCTATTTGATAACTGAGACAGCTTGAGCTCTGTTTTTCTAGACACTGAATAATTTCTCTTACACTCTTCTGCACCACCTGCAGTTTTTCACTACCTTTGTTTTAGATGAGGATGACTATGAATACTAAAAAAAATCAGACTCCTTAACAGTCAGAATATTTAACCATAGGAAAAATATTTTACTGAAGGTGTTATCAATGTGATACAGAGAGTTACCAGTCGCTGCCCTGTTCCTCCTTATTTTGACCTGGTTTATGCAAGAGTTGCACTATTTTTTAGCTATAGTATTCTCAGAATCCATCATAAAGGGCAGACCCTGGCTTTTACAGTGCTCATTTATGCTTTGAAAAGAAATGCTACAGAGGTAATTTTAAATTGGAGTACCTT